TTGTTTTTTACTCAATTGAACCCTTCCATACACATGTGTTTGTGAAATAAATTATAAAATTTTTAAACTAATATTTATATTTGAACGATGTGAACAATTAATTCCAAAGTCAATGTTTTATATAATTATTTGAAGATAATCTCTATTTAATTTTAAGTTGTAATAATGACTTATCGAATCTAATACATAAAAGCAATACAATTTTGTACTGTTCATTCTACAGTATTCCCGCTCAACGCACCTACGCATCTCAACCGTTAATTCACCTATATCTTTCACCTTCATTCTGATTCATCCCATCCACATCGTGCCTTCATCCAGGGACGATGGAAGTGAACCCCTTTACCACTGCTTTTTGCGGCTCTCTCTCCGCCCATTTCTTTTATTCCTGTTTATCGCTCTCCTTCTTCATCGACATCAATCTCCCAATCCGCACTTCATTCATACCCTTCTCCATTGTTTTGGCTATGGAAGTGAACCCCTTCCACCTTCTGACTTCTTGCACTCCACTTCGGCACTCCTCATCGATCCCATGTCATTTATGCCAGGTGCTGAGTCGCCTCCTTCATACTTCAATGATATGAGGTTAGATTTTGATTTATAACTTCAATTCCTATTCAATTAAATTACTTAATTTCTGATTCAATTAAACTTCTCCTATCTTTAGCTTTATTTTTACTTGGTATATTTATGTATCAATAGGTTGGAAATGAATTTGCTGGAGATTTTTCAATCCTAAAGATAGTTTACAGGTAAAGTGCTTTTGCAGTTTTTCCCTTTTTGAATGCAGGCCTCAACTCCTGAGTTGTAGCTGTTTTTGTGAACAATGTTTTTCTATGACATTGATTTTGGAATAGGTCATGGCATTTTGTGACAATGTGTTCCAATTCAATAGTTTGCTGGCATTTTGGGAAAAAGACAACCAAGAGGTTGTTTATTCAATGGAACCAGGTATATCTAATAAAATCAATGTTTGTTTGTGTAGTTCCTGTTCAATTTGGAGTTATTCATCTCAGTTTCTCCTACCCAATAGTTATTTTCTTCTTCTTCTTCTTCACCCTAAAAGTTTGAATGTCATTCCAACTTCATTTACTCTAATTAAGAGGTTTTCTCTATGTATCAACTACATATGTATAGTTGCTCTCTAATTTTGCATATAACATGTTTGATAAAATGCATAGCTCACCTTTCTTTATTTTTTCAATACCATAAATAAAAAATATATTTTTGTTTGTTTGTCCCTGATCAGGAGGAAGCCGAGGAACTAAAGGCAAATAATTATATTTGGAATAAGGTGTTTGCCTGATTTAGATTTGTTTATTTGGATGCTCATATCAAATGTATTTTCATTTGGAATGAGATATTAAAGTGACAGCAAGTAGAGACACCCGAACAAACCAGCAAAGTGGCTTATTTTCCTCTTCTTTTTCACCCTAAAAGTATGAATGTCGTTCAAAATTCATTTAGATCTAATTAAGAGGCTTTATCTGTGTATCAACTACACACATATTAACTTTATCTTATTTATTGATAAAAATTTAAAACCAGTAACACTCTTTGATTAAGTATTGTGAAAGCATAGATGCACTATTGCTCTCCTTTTTTCATAGTATTAAGGAAACACCATGTCACTATTGCCTAATGTGTCTCATAAAAACATTAAACTGCACTCACATAGATATGATAAGTTGAAGAAATTCAAGCTCCATGTGAATAAGTATTCGGAACATTATGAACCTCAAATGCTAAATTTGTATCGAGGTAAATGCCAACTCTTTTGTATGAATATGATCTTTTAGAATATTAATTTGACCACTTCTGATCCAGAAATTTATGATGTCAAAAAACCAATGGAATATTAAAAATGATGTCAAAATCTATGATTCTCGAATTCAATCTTTTAGTGTTGTTTGTCCCCTTCATTCATATCCTCACTAGATCGATTAATTCTTCTTCTGAAATCAGAACAAGCTTAGCAAATGTTGAGAAATCTCTAAGGTGTTTGATCGCCAAAAGGTATTTTCGCATTTTGGGTTTGATCGCGAGAAGGATTTTTGGTATTTAAACATGGAACTGATTTGTTTACATAAGGAACTTAATGGATATCATTTATTCTTTATTAAATTTCCTTCTTCCATATTCATATGATTAATTTTTTGGTTTGGTTTTAAGAACATGTCTTCCTTTTTCAAGATTTTTGGCATTCTGGGTTCAATAGCATTATGACCGGAAGGAATTTTCTTCATGGTTGAATTCAAATGGTGTTGCTTAAAGGTTAGAAAGTGATGCATATGTTATCTACCGTTAATTTAAAACTAACAAAGAGAGATCAAAGGTAAATTGACGCTTCTTCCGGATCAGTTTCAAAGGCAAACTACATTCAGAATCTGGTATGGGCGTGTCACTCCATCTCGATTTTTCATCTTTACTAAGTATACTGTATCCTTAAAATCTTCATTTTCAGATTTAAAATTCCAATTTACTTTCAAGATGTTCATCAAGAATAAAGTTGCCATCTTCATCTCCCTATTAAACTTATGTTTATAGGCTATTGAGCTTGTCTTTTCTAATTCTCTTTGAAAAATACTTGAAGCCTCGATGTACCTGAACAATTTCCTAAAATAGATTTCTTTTTCTAAAATCATATCATAATCTGAAATATCTCTATGCATGTTTTACTTGCTTAACTTAAGTTAATTTTTTATTCAGTACTCAACAACTCATACCTTTTTTAAGAAGATTTATCAAGTTCTGTTATTTGTCTTCTAATACAATAATTTCTGGTTGAATGTTCAGAACTAAAGGCGAATTCGATGAGATGGTTTTATATATTCATGATGATATGAATCATATTTGTATGATTCAAGGTAATACTAAATAAGTTCTTATTGTCTAAAACTTAACCAGTCCAATTCTTTTTTTGCATGTGTAAAGTCATCGTTCCAGACTCCATAAACATCACTTGGTTCGTTGCCCCCCAATGTGAGCACAACTTACAGAGATGCATTTTCCATGGGGTATCGCATTTTGGTGCTTGGATTCATATTCTTAATCATAGTAGTTGTTGTTTGGATCTTCATTGTGAATTAGATTAGGATACATTTGATTGTGCATATAATCAGGGCTTCTTTTAATACCCCCCTCACATAATTTAAGCCTGTTTGGGGTGCTCCCGGTATTTGACAATGATGATGTTTACGTACTATGCTCCCATTCTTATTTTGTTAGTTTTTGCAAGGTTGAATGGAATATTATACCTAGGAGGAACACCACCACGGGGGAGAATACTATTGTGGCTGGATTGTTGGAAGCAAGTCAAATGGATGCCTGCATACTATGCGTTAGCTATTCTCATTTTTCACAATCATATGGTCTACCAAAACAACGATTCAAGCTCAAGTTTGTGTTTTCAGCGAGACAATAGCGCAATGTTATTCTGCACAGATCATTCCAGTTCCAAAAAATGCATAAGAAAATCCATCAGGTATCTGTTTCACCCCTATTGTGGTATGAATCATAATAAGACTCCTATTTATGCATTGCACTATATGAAACTAAAACCTATGAAACATGGAAACTCTCCGCGGCTCACGTTTCCCCGTTTCGGAAACTTGGAAACGTTTCAGAAACTCGGAAACTTCAAATTCCGTTTTGGGACCGTTTATGTAATTAAGAAGACTAGGGAAACCTGTTTCGCTACGTTTCGGAAACCTCGGGTTTCCAATTTTTTTCCTTATTTAACAAATCTTTTAAAATGACATCTCATTCAACTTTTGTGAAGATTCAAAAAAGCTTAGTAAAAAGTTCAGTAAATTGAGGTTATAAACCCAGATAAACAAATCTTAATCCATCATTTTTCATAGTTTGATTTAAACTAATTGGTCTCCCACGTTCAAGAATTCCATAAACTGAGGTGTTGTAATGCTATTTTTCACTGTAATTCACTAGATTGTATATTTAGATTCATTGATGAGGCATCTTGATGGGTGGTTTTTCTTTGATAGGCTTAGGTGATTTTCCTGATAAGTTGAGCTTTCTGATCCGTTCTAGAAGCATTGATGATTATGAAAGTTATCTTGCATTCGAGAGTTAGTTTGCCAGTCCAATTAAAGCTTGAAATTCATGATATGCTACGACGGGTAAAATATGAAAGAAACTGCAGAAAACGTCGTCTTTAAGAAATTCTTCAATACTAAGTACTATCTAATTCTTAAATTGTACGCTTACTAAACTTTTTAAATTTATTACTCCGTAAAATTCATAATTGTGTTATTCATTTATATTAATAATATATAGAATTACATCCCGTGCAACGCACGGGTGAATGACTAGTAACAAACAACACAAATGGAGTACTTTTAGCTAATTAGGTTACGCCGTTATAGTGCGCCAAGTAGACCCGCATGTAAGGACGGGTCAAGTGCGAACATTTAATAAACTATGCTTATCACAAGGCGGACGAGTCCACTTAGTAAAGTCACCGAGGCAGGCAGGTCATTATCATGTTTGCATTTAAACCTGCACGATTAACAAATAAACCTTAGAGGTTGGAGACTACTTTCACAACACTTCAAAAAGAATTTATTTGGTGATCTTGTTTTTTGGCTTATCATTTTTTTCAAACAATTTTTTCATCAAACGTCTATTTTTTGATTTTGTGTACTGAAGTGTGCAATAATAAAAATAAATAAAGTTTAAGTTACTTTTCTAACTGAAACTACTCGAGAGGATTGTTTTAACAATTTCTCATTTTGTTTTTAATTTTATTATTAATTTATCAATAAACATAATTTTAAATACTCTCTCTTGGAATGTTCCCGCTTTCCTTTTTTGGATGTCCCGTTGGAAAGTTCTCATTTCCCTAAACGGAAAGTTATCATACATTAAAACGGGGTCAAACAATGCAAAACAGTGTCAAACGGTGCCAAACAGTGTCGAAAAAGTGTAAAAACAGTGTAAAAAATATGTGTGTACGTCAAACACAGAACATTCTAATTCTAAGTGGACGGAGGGAGCTAAGAGAGAGCTATCAAACGGGCTCCGCTGCCCCTTCTATGTGGCGTCAAATCTTATTGTCGAAGGGAAACTTGGGGCGCCATTAATGGCGGTTTCATCTATTCATTGCATTCCTGTAATTCTGGCCACGCTCAGCACCCAACCCCGGCCCGCTTTCAATGATCTGATTTGGCATTACTCCAATCCCACATCTGTTCGGTATCTTTCTAGTGGCAACTATCGGCGCAGCCCAATCGTCACCGCCTTCTCCTATAGTATGTTGTTCGCTCTCAGCTATTCAAATGAATTTGCCATTTTTAATAAAAAAGAAAATGATGCATTTGACTGTATTGTCAGGATCCAAAGACGAACTTCTACTAGACAAGAAAAGTTTTGAGCTACTTGAACAACACGGTGCTAATCTTGACGAGCTTCTGTCTGACCGTCCTCCGAAGGTCTCTTTCTCTCTCACTCTTTGGTTTCTTTTTGTAACCAAGATTAACTTCAGGGTATCGATTGGCATTTCATAGCCAATAAAGAACATAAAAGAGCTGAGCAAGAAGGGAAATGGGAAGAATGTTGTCCCTGAAGAAACTAAGCCTCCGAGGGGGACACACAAGCTGCTTCAGGTTTGCATCGGTCCACTACGGATTTTATATCTTTTTGTTTACTCTGCTTATTGTGTAAGCCGATAAACAAGGTGATAATTGTTTATCAGAAATGTTGAATACATTATTTAAAGAATGTTTCCTTATTAATGTTTGGAGTGGCTATTTAGGTGAATATGAGTTCATGACTTTAATAGTACTTTAATATTAAGCACATCTGTGAATTATGAATGTTAATCGTTTTGTTATCTGTGCATGATATGTTAAAAAACCATGCAGACGGCATGCCTATTTTTAATAATAGCAATTATATTTAAAATCTAAAACCAGTTTTGCTTGTGATAAGATTTACAAAGTGGGGGGTAAATGAGGAGCTTCTCTCCACTTTTCTTTTGTGGGGTTAAAAACTTAGTAGACAGTTTCTTTTATAGGGCTAAACCTAGCTGCCAACAACTGTTTTCTTCCTTAGATATTCCTAGAGTTTAGACAGCCAGTTCATGTTGACATCGTGTATTTGGTCTTTTCCAAATTAGCTTTTTCGTTATGATGTTTCATTTTTCTATCTGAATGCCCCCCAGCCATGGATATGTTTCTCAATATCACCCATATTGCACCGACTGATCTCCTCCACAACCCCAGCCGTGTCTGGCAAATGGAGTGACATGAGTTGATTTCTTTTTGTGGCTGGTTATATAGAGATTAATAAAGCTTCGTTGTCAGTGACTGGAGAAATTTGTCATGCGAGTTAACGAGGAAGCTAATTTCTACTTTGAGTTATTCTTTACCGGTGGGATGTTCAAAGTTCAAACCACAATTGATTATTGTTTTTGTTAAATTTTTCTCTTATTACCGTAACCAAATCAGGATTACTAGCTTTGCTGGTGGAGCCTTCCACATTGTTGCCTTGCTGGGTTAGCAATCTGGAAGGTCTTTCTGCCCTTCTGTGTGCTTTTCTTTCTATTTTTCGCCGTGTCGCAGCCATGATGTCAGCTCTAGCGTTTTATATTTATGCAGTTATTAATGAAAACAGTTTTTACCTCCACCAGAAAAACGGGAAAAAGGAAAGGAAAATATGCATACTGTTATATATAAGTGCTTATGATTAAATAAATCAACGGCAAGCTCGTCATTTGAAAACAAACAGTATTGGTGAATGACAAACGAAGCTCTTAAAGAAGTTGGCTTTTAGTGTGTAGATTGTTAGGTGCTGTGATTAGCTAAAAAAGTATTTTTCGAACTTTTGGTAGCGGTTAGCTTTTAGTAGATGAAAGTTTGCACATAAGAAAGACTATGTTTCCGGTACAACTAGGGGCTGTTGCTAAAAGTTCAGACTATAGTCAATTAGTTAGTCAAGTAAAAAGATTTAGGCTAAAATACTTCCCGTCGTTCCCGATGTAACATTTGAGTAAAGCTTCACTTTTCTATAAACGATGTAACATTTTAGAAAAGCTTCAATTTTCTATAAACGAAAACACTTTTTCCAAACACATGACAAGGGCCTTGTGAAGACTTTTTTTAATTGTAGAAAACCTAGAAGTTCCTATCTTATAAGTGCCAGACATGCACACATTGGTGAACAAGTTCTATGTTTTCAATTCCTGGAATATCAGACACTTGTGGTCATATAGGTCCTGGGAGGGAAGGCACGACGGAGGAAGTTGCTCTCTCCCAAGGGAATGGATGTACGTCCTATGATGGAAGTCGTTAAGGGTGCAGCATTTGACATTTTGCAGGTCCCTCATACAATTCTTTGTTTGATTTCATTTCAGTACTATATGTATGCATGTAGCAAAGCTCTACTACCTCTCTGTGATTCCGCCCAAAAAAAGTTGTCTGTGAGAAGATACGATTTTTTAATTTTATTAGGCTAGCATTCTTGGAAACCAAAAACAGCAGCTCTATTTATGAACATATAGGTTGGTTTTACTAAATATAACATACTTAACTTGTTTTTTTAAAGTAAATATGATGAATGTTCTGTCCAAAACTCCAAATAAGACTTTTTGTGGGGACAGTGGGAGTAATAGATACTTATCTGTCTTCAAAAGGGATGAGACAATCATATAGATCTTTGATGATGCTCCATTTGTAACTAAGATTTCCCCCTCAAATGTTTAGGTGGCTGGTGGTTGCCCTGCATCTCTAAGGCCTGGTCGGTGGTTGGACTTGTATAGTGGTACTGGATCTGTTGGCATTGAAGCACTCAGCCGAGGCTGTTCAGAAGTTTGTATCTGTGTTGTGTGTAAATATACTTTTGTTTGTAATGAGCTATCTAGCAGAGCTACAAATACAGTGATGCGACAACCGCGCAAAATATAGGATACATGTACATGAGCGTACATGTATCCTGTATTAAAAATTACAAGGACGTACTTGCAAATACAGTTTCTCATCAAAGATAAATACAACATCCAAGCCGTATTCCCAAAAGATTTTGGGGGTATCAGCAAAGATAAATAAATATATAAATTATTCCTGTAAGTATATATAGGGTATGTTTGGCACAACTAGTTGAAAAGATACTTTTGTGAGCTTTTTAGTAACTGTTAGCTTTAGGTGACTGAAAAGATCTTAAAAAGAAAAGGCGATGCTGTTTGGTAAAAAGCCGACTGTTTGATATAGTTCTGTTTGGTATACAAGCTGTTAGGACAATTTAATACTAAAAGTCTCAGTCTTTTCTGCTACTCCCTGTAGAATCTCAAAAAAGATCTTTTATTTTTTGAAAAACTCTTAAAATCTTTCATGCCAAACATACAACTAAAAACTTTTAGAGACTTTTTAAACAGTACGAAAGCTAGAAGGCATAGACTTATGTCTACCAAACATGCACATAACTTATTAACTATTGCTTGGTTTGATCTATAAGTTTTGTCTAATGTCAAAATATAAAACTATGCAAGCATTGGGTTTTCAATTATTTTAATTTTTTCATATTCAAAAATATCTCAGGTGCATTTTGTTGAGATGGATCCTTGGGTTGTGTCCGATGTTCTGCAGCCAAATTTAGAATCAACTGGTTTCCTTCATGTCTCAGTTATACATAATGTCCGTGTTGAGAATTTTTTAGAGCAAGCAGTACATTTTGTTGGTATGCCATTTCATTTAATTTCATAATCTCATCCTATTTCCCACCTTAAAAAGCTCATATGGTATTTCCTGATGAACTCTGAAGGGAAGAAGTTGAGAATGCTGTTTTTTGTTCCTAATCTGAGAGCTTTTTCTCTTCCTTTTTTTGCAGATATGTATGGGGCTTTTGATTATATAAGTGTCACACCTCCATATGTGGAAGTAGATTATGCCATATTGATGAATCAAATTGCAAATTCATCAGTAGTGGGGGATGATACCTTCATAGTGAGTTTGCAATACTTCACGCATATTCCTCTCTCACTGCCTCCGGCATTTGTTTCATATGTTATGACATCTTGGTATACTCCAGGTAGTAGAGTACCCTTTGAGAACGGACATGCCAGATTCGTGTGGTGGACTTCTGAGGGTAATTCCCTTGACTAGTTTATTTTTTCATGTGTACCATTTTACAAGGGAGTTTAGTAAACTTGATCTTCATTATTGCTACGCACCTCCTTCGCGCTTTTCTGTCAAAACAAACCTAGGCTATGTACACCCAGAAAATGGTAGGAAAAAAGTGAAGGAAAATTTTTTACCTTATAAACTACGAAGGATAATCAATTTTGATCATTACTTTTTAGACTGCTAGAAACATCTGGAATTATTTAGTCTCGGTTTAATCAAAATATACAAATACAAAGAGTTTGATCAATTCTGTGTAATTGATATATTGAGTTAGAATCGATTTTTCCTCCTAAATTTTTTCCTTAGCATTGTCATAGTTCCAAAAGGACCCCTAGTGTTTGATTGATCGTTGACGCCTCTTCAACTAGGTAATAACTATACATGATGCTTTCCTCTTGCTAACAAGGGCTGTAATCATATACCACGGAAAGGGAAGTGTGATATAAATATTTGTTGCATAATTTCTTTACTTTTTGGTGGGCCAAAAAACTATAGGTATCTGATCGACGGTTTGGTCGGACACATCTTGCTATATATGGACCAAAGTGGGCACAAAAGAGGAAAAAAGTGAAATACCTAATGCCAAAGTAGATAGCTAATACTGATACATGCAGAAAGTGGAATCTGTATTTGAAACCTTGTCTATATGCATGCGGGGACATGGTAGTTTCATATTGATGATTTACTGTGTCTACATGGGTGGTTTCATGGTTTGGGCATGCATATGCTTCTTATGTGCTGAATGAAACCTCTCATCACTATTGCGACCTTGCTGGGAAATTACCTTCTTCTGGACGTTCTTCCACCCGAGGATTTGCCATTGTGTGGGAACAGGATGCTGCTATTTGAGTAGCATTTTCGTTCTTTAAATAATTATTGTATTGCGGAGTATTTTTTACTCTGTATAAGAAAATTATAGAAACTAGTATTTCACAACGCACGTGATGTAATTTTGAATTATTATGTGATGGTGTAGGTCATTTCGTTCGTGCACTCCAATATATGTTTCTGCTCCCTAAGGAAGCAAATGCAATTTTAAGAAGTATATCTAAACACATCCTTAAAAACTTAGATACTTTACTATTTAAGTAGTTTTTTTAGTTTGTTCTTACTAAGAGAATAGTCATAGAGCTAAGACATAACAAACTTAACAATTAAAAAGAAGCTTTACCATAAAATCTACCATCACATCTTTCACATAGGGATGGACTCGGGTCTGGGCCGGGTCCGGGTCGGGCCTAGGCCCGGGCGGGCCGGCGGGTCAGAAATGGTGGACCCGGGACCGGCCCGGGTAACCACCGGGTCCGGGCCGGGCCGGGCCCATTATATATATTTTTTTGTTTTCCTCTTCCTAATTAACCCCCATCCCACCCCAAACCACCCCAAATGACCCAAAATATCCAGCCCAACCCAAAAATTTAAAAAAAAATGAAAAAAAAATAGTTTTTGGCTCGAATCGGGCCCGGCCGGGTCGGGCCTTGTTTTGGGTGACCCGAGCCTGGACCGGAAAACCCACGGGCCGGGCCTACCCGGACCGGTCACTGACCGGGCCACCGGGTCGGGCCGGGCCGGAACAGTACCGGTCCCGGGCCGGTCCCGGGTCGGGCCACCCGGCCCGAGTCCATCCCCACTTTCACAGTTTAAGCTTAGATACTTTACTATTTCAGTAGCTTATTTTACTTTTTTTTGTCACCGAATATAGAAGCAAACTAAAAAGAAGCGAAATTCGAAAAAAATTAAGCAAGTCTTGAAAAATGAGATATTAATTCTATACTCCGTCATATGCATATGATCAAGTTACATCAAAGTGTTCTTGTAAAATAGATAAAACGTAACCATAGAACTCCCATGAATTGTTTGGATAATTTTAAGGGTGTTTTTTAGCAATAATTTGAAATTCTCTTTTCTTCTCAAGTACATAAATATAGAAGGAAGAAAAGATTCAAAAAATAAAACGAAAAATCCCTAAAGAACAAAGATTAGATTTCATAAGAGTACCAAAAAATACAAAGCTTACAAAAGATGGTCCAATGTGACAAATGGAAACATGTTAATTAGTTCACACACAAAAAACTCAACCCATGTCCAATCCATCCTGAATTGACTTTTGACTTGGGAGCCTTCTTCTTCACTAATGTTCTCTCCTTGGATTCAAATTCTTGATGCCAATGTAAAACAACAGTGCCCCAAGCAATTGTAAATCCTGTGAAAACTTGATGAAGAGTTGAGTAAATTCTTTCTTGTCAGCTTCATAAACTTTCTACACTCGATGATGTCTTCATAGTCACCCGGAGAGGCACCATCCTGGGCTCCTGCCAATACCACATCGTCGCACAATAGAGAAAGGTTTTTTCAGTTTAATAAAAATAGATACATGCTCTTTTCACTCAAAAAATGAGTCTATACAAAATATCTTTTTCACTCATTAATTTAGTGATAGAAATCCTTACTTTACGGTTCAAATCCATCTTCCTACTCCGATCCCAACTCCACCACTTTTGTGTAAAAAATAACATGGAGAAACTAAGATGAATTTGCTTCAAATATTATAATATCATTTTAAAGCATTCCTAATGAGTAATATGCAGATGAAAATGAGACCTATAAATAATAAAGTCAGGCTTACTGGAATTCCATAACAAAACTGAACTCTTTTCATTGTACATGAATCGTAATGGTCTCTTGCTTGCTGGAACATTTGGACGGGATTAAAACAGGATTTCTGGGAGACCACTATTATTGATCACCGTGGCCATATACTTAGAGAATCATGGTTAGAAATTGATTTCATAGCAGCAAAGAAAACTTTTTTAGTTGATGAGGAGAAGGCTCACACTATTTGCACATAGACGTGGTTTATTTCGGGAACATGGAAAACCTCATCAATGACAAATCCGAATTCAAAATGTAAAATATGAAACAAAATCCAACTTTGAAAAAATCTAATTTTTAACATATTAAAAATGTAAAACATGAAACAAAACCCAGATTTTAAAAACACTATTTTTTGTCAATCATAAGAAGAAAATAGATAAAGGTTTTCACAGATAAAACCTGGTGGCTAATTGTATTTGAAAATTGCAGCAACTTAATATGCCCTTATGAGAGTTGACCTGTGAAAGGTCAAGTATGGGGGTACTAACCTGTGAAACGATGCAAATATGGGGGTACAAATTAGCAGACCAAAGCTTATAGATAAAGGTCAGGTGTAGGGATGGACTAAACTGGCCCGGCCCGCTACTGTGCGGGCCCGGACCGGATCGGGACCGGTTGGTCGGTTCCAGGCTTTTAGCCCGTTTGGGCGGGCCGGGCTCGGGCCCAGATTTGGACGAAATGGCCCGGGTGGTTCGGGTCGGACCTGAGTCAATTTTTTTTTCAATTTTTTTTTCAATTTTTTTTTCAATTTTTTTTTTCTTTTCCTAGGGTAGGGCTGGGTGTTTTGGGGTGGGGGTGAGGGAGGGGGGGGGGGGTCAGGGGATAACAAGAAAGCAAAAAAAAATTAGACATTGAACCGGGTCCGACCCGGCCCGGTTCTGGGCCCAAGAATTTACAAAAAAAGCCCGCTCGGGCCCGACCCAGAACCGTACCGGCCCGGGTCCATCCCTAGTCAGGTGTAGACAATCAAATACTTGAAAACCTCAAGTCCATACCTCCACACAAACATGTTGTCTTTCATAGTGCCACCATCATTGTTTGTCTAGCAACTTCCCTCCTCATCTCTGCAGCTTTTGTACTTCCTTGGAAATACATGTACACTTGCGGCCTATACCATTTGTAAAACACACACATCAAAATTAGAAAACACTCTTTAAAGCTCTGCTTATTGAAAATGCACAAAATCTTAAACTTTTTCAATAATTAAAGGTCGTTTTTATTGATAAAATTTAGCATGAAGATGAAAAATCGACCTTTTAATTTTCATGGTGAGATGTAATGAAAATATAATTATTATTTAAATAGAACTTAAATATGACGTTTTAAGAATGTACTTAAAGCTATCATACTATCTACTTCTCTCAAATTTCTAGAATAGCCAGACATTGTTGATTGAGGAATTATAACAAACACCTTGCTTTCGGACTGTCTAATTCTCAAATTATCAAAACAAAATATACATCAATGGAATTAAGTTGAAGTTGACTAAATAGAAGATTTGACTGAAATTGTAAGAATCATAAAGTAGAACTAATTTCTGAAAGGGCCTGTGCGGGAGAAATTAAGCATTTATTAGGTCGGTTATTAAGTGAAGAATAGGCCATCGTATAGGAAATTACCTTCTCCTGGACTTTCTTCTACCCGATGACTTGCCATTGTGTGGGAACATGATGCTGCTATTTGAGTAGCATTTTCTAGGGGTGGGCGCGGTTCGGAACGGTCCGGTAAATTCGTAAGATCCGTAATGTATCCGTGAGGTTTTTAACGGTCCCGTACGGTCCGGTTCCAAAGATAGAACCGTTCGGTACCATGTCATTTCGGAACGGTACAAAACGGTACGGTACAATGCCAAACACATGCTAAATTTTTTGAACAAATCTTGCAATTAGTAGATATCATCACACCAACCAACTCACATGAAATGTTGAAATAAATACAAAAAATTGCATACATAGTACTAAAATTCACAAATACACAAATATTGCAACACAACTAAGAAAAAGTATAGAAAAACGATGACGCACAAGATAAATATCATTTTTAAATTACTAAGTTCATGTGAAAATATAAAAACGAATATCATCAATTAAGTTGAACCTTGAGAGCTAAGATTTAAATCATATTAATTAAGTTGTAAAAAATGCACAAACATGATACAACAAGAAGTCATGTACACTATATTACTAGAAATAAATAATCATTAATGATTTCTAAATTTTTAATATTCTTTCAATACATACCAAAATATAACATCAATTATCTAAAAAGAAAAACTAACAATATATATATATATATATATTTATATAACACATTTTAGATATCTTAGGAACACATGAATACATACTTGGGGTATAAAATTGTTGGTCTAGATCTATTGATATAGAAAAAATATAAAAAAATTCAAATGCATTATTTACGAATGGTTCAGTCCCGTATTTTTCGGTTCTCAAAATCTAGGATCGGTCCCGTACCCGTTTCAAACGGTATGGTTTCGGTACGGGATAAAAATCTATACAACCTTTTAAATACTCGGTATTCTGTTCGGTACCATTACAGGACGGTTCGGTACCGGTTCGGTTCGGGTTTTATGCCCACCCCTAGCATTTTCCTTCTTTAAATAATTATTGTATTGCGGAGTATATTTTACTCCGTATAAGAAAATTATAGAAATTACCCCGTAAAAAGGGAAAATGGAAACTAATAATCCAATCTTTTAGCGATCTTCTTACAATAGTCCCACATTTTCATTATTCATTAATAATACAACCTTTGCATCTCATCTTCAATCACTGGTCCCATACCGATTTGTGACCTGTTATTGCAAGTTATTTTTTTTATCTTTGTAAAACATTATACCATAATTCACACCTTATGATCACATAATGTTTTGCAAAGATAAGAAAACAACTTGGAATAACAGGTCATAAGTCGGTCAGGGACCAGTGAATGAAGATTGGGTGCAAAGGTTGGATTATTAATGAATAATGAAAAAGTGGGACTATTGTAAGAAGACCGCTAAAAGGTTGGATTATTAGTTTCCATTTTCCCCTGTAAAAATGTTTGAGAATTCGAAAACAGAATTAGGAAATTTTTACTTGGACTGAAATTTGTTGGTCTAGTCTGAAGTAATTTGCTGGCCTGGTCTGAAATCAGTTCAAGTAAAAAACATTCTTAGTATGCTTTTATCTCCTAAATAGAAGTAATTATTGTCATGTTTTGGCTTTTACCAGACTTTAAAATGACAATATTCTTCAATGATATTGTGTGGGAACATTTACTCCTATTTAGAGAATAAAAATGTATAAATATTCCTATTTTAGAATTTCAAAAACATATTTATTGCTATTTCAGTGACTTTCCCTATTCGAATTAGTTCAAAAGTATCCTTGTAAATGATGATGGGTTTGATGAAAGTATCCGACAATTAGAGCATCTCCAATGTGATACAGTGATAGTGCAAGGGAAAATATAAACTAGGATAGAGATATGAATAAAGCGTAGATAATGCCTATAACAATGCTCACACATAGACTTTGCATGAGATCGATTTAAGGAGTAAACTAGCACAGCACCCTTGCATACACACGAGAAAAAACAATTGATCCTTATACGATAGTATATTTTTGTTCATGATCTATTTAAATATGTAGTATAAAAATGTTTTTTTTTACAATTCTATAGCATTTCAAAAATGGAGTACAATAAGTTAATATCAAAAAGTATAAATCCATACAACAAGTATTCAAAGTAAAAGAAAATTAAAGTAAAAAAATCAACACTATCCATTAGTATACTTAGTATTGTTGGCAACAAATAATAAAATATTGAACTTAATTGTTAGAGTTTTGAAAAACTACTTTAAAGAGAACTTTTGTGGTAACGTCTAATGCTTTTCTCTTCTTATAATGTATTAAAATTATCAATCCATATTTTCACCCTTGATAACGCCATATATATAAAGCATTGCATGACTAAAATATCTAAAGTTTCTTCTTTTTCCAGTGACATAGTTAACAATTTATTGATTATCATCACATATGTGACAATTATAGAAAAACATCTTCTCATAAGTTTAAAAGGTCTTGACATAGGAAATATGAGAGGAAGTTCTCTCGATGAGTTATTATTTGCTTATCTTATACCAAAAAACACTACATATGAGAGAAAAATCATCTCGCTTATCCTATTGTATACGACATTTTTTAACTGTGGCTTATGTTTTGACCACAGTTGTTGTGCCCACACACGTAAAATTGTCACAAATAATATTCACCACAGTTTCTTTAGTCTTTTACGACTGATTGAGATCGTGGCAAAAATGATATATTTAGTAGTGTACTTAAAAGCACTACGCATGAGATTGAGAGGCAAAATTCTTATTCTCAATTTTTAGCACGCTTATTTTCTTATACCTAAAAACACTACGTATGAAATAAAAAAATTCTCCAACTCAATTATTAGTCTGCTAATCTTATATTTAAAAGCACTACATATGAGAGTGTAATTTCCACCTCAATTATTAACCTGCCATTGGGTCTAGACGAGCGTCCGCCTGGTCTTGGGCCCCTTGGCCCGAGCGATCACAGGGACGGGGACCCGCCCGGCCCATGTCGACTACTCACTCGGGGCCCCAGATCACCACGTGGCTTTAGCTGACCAAGGACAAGGACACTAAGCCTAGTGTCCTCTCGATTTTGTTGATAGGTCATGCCATAACTAGGCCTTGGTGGTTCTCTTTCTGAGAGGTTATCGGGACATTCCTATATCGGGTCCAATTAACCCAACAGGGCCCATATTAGAGGCTCATGCTCTGCTTTTATCTATAGATAGTCCTCTAGGGTCATGTTACCTATTTTTGATTATCACATTCAATACAACACATTCATCTCCCTCACCTTTCTAGCTCATAATATCTCTTTAATTACATGTTCGGATGCCCCTATAATCTATCAGTAACTCATGTTTAGTTTTTACACTTAAGTGACAATGACACTTACTCATAGTAACTTTAGACATATTTAATCTTGATATATACTAGTAAATTTTATTTTAGTAATTTTTGAAAAACCTCTAAATGAATTAAAGATAAAGTAAAATAATTTTTTTAATAGTTGGGATTTCAATGTGGTCCTAATTTTGCAAGGACTTGAATTACATAACAACATCAATATATAACCAAGCATTCCAGCCCAGCTGGTTGTGAGGTTACCGTGCCTTGTGGGAGGTCTCAAGTTCGAAACCCGCTAGGCACATAAGGGTTTGAAACTCAATAGGCTGAGTTTCAGCCCTGATTACTCCAGCCCCCAAGCCCCCCTCCCCAGACCCACTGGAGTAAAAAAACATCAATAATATAAACACGAAAAAAACATCAATAAGAAAAGTAAAAAATGTGTGGTTGATATTTGTGCAGAGGAGAGAGAAATGTGCAGAACCACAAATTAGTTACTTTAATTGGAAAGTGATGAAGTTTTTTGGGACAACCAAAAAGCGAAAGTTGGCAAAGTCCAATGGGACGAAGGGAGTATCTATCTATAATGATATCTTATCACTATCATAAAGAGAGTTATGTTCAAACACAAATAATCACGAAAACAAGATGTATCCACAATTGTAATCATTTATTGAAATTAGGAAATTCGCATAAGAATTATGTAGGGAAAGTTATTATTATGGTATTAACATGTGACATTACGGGCCCGTTTACTTAGGACTTAATGAGCTGAATGGAAAGAATGACTTATTCGCTCAGTCAATAATTCGTGTTTACTTACGACTTAATGAAAAACTTGACTTATTCGCTTAGACGAAATATGACTTGACTATTCAGGCGGATAATTACACTCCTTGGCTTTTTTAACCCAGCTCTTGCTCGTTACGCATCCAACAACGCAAGATCAGCAAGCAGCACTCCATCTTCATCAAATTAAAATGAGCAGCGGTTAATCTTCGTCAACCAGAAGCTTAACCAGCAAAGCTACATGCATTCCATACTCTCATACTCCTCCCGTTATGTGATTTGAATTATAGAGCTTGGAGCAGAGAGAGGCCGCAGCGAGTCAGCGGTGATTAATTAGGACTGCCGGTAACCCATATGAGTACTTCATAGACCTTTATAAACACAAGAAGAATTTTCAATGGGCGGATCCAGAGATGGGGAGGCTATAGAGCTTGCTTTTAGTAAGAAGAAGATCGAAGCTAGAAAGAATTGACTGAGACAATTTGAGGTTTTGGAATTACTCACAACTTTGCTATAATGCTATGACAAATCAACTTAAATTTCAGTGGTTAAATCGATCTTTATCTGATCGGGACTCACCTTGATCAGAGTGTGAAGAACATCAAATATACTGATTTTGTTAACAAGGAGCTTATTCTGTTTTCGATGGCTGACCTTCAAAGATCTATTCCATCAATGCTTGATGGTTTAAAACCTGGTCAAAGGAAGATCCTTTTCTGTGCTTTTAAGAGAAACTTCACCAAAGAAGCAAAGGTTGCTCAATTCTCTGGTTATGTTTCAGCATATATGTGTTAACTTGGGAAAGTTTTTCTGCATTTTGTGGCATGATTCTTCAACAAAAGTGTACACATTTCTCTTATCTTGGTAGTTTTTTCCAGCATCTTTCCATCATCTTTGTAGTTCATAGTCCACCATTAAGCAATGGGACTATTTTTCCACCATCTTTCCATCATCTTTCCATCATCTTTGTAGTTCATAGTCCACCATTAAGCAATGGGACTATTTCCAGCATCTTTCCAGCATCTTTCTGCATTAAGTTTTTCAGCATGGGCTTATTTTATTGTAATTTGTATTGTATTCATTATTAATTGTGATGATATATAACTTAATTTTTCTTGGATCTTTTTTATTTGTGCTGATGAGATACTCGTATTATAGAAATGAATTATTTTTTATTGCGTAAATGAGACACGATTTGGTAAAAAATCAGTTTTGTACATTTGTGTAGTATGGTAAATGACAAATTTCCGAGATGGAATCGCTAATAGACTAGTTACAAATGTTTCTTTAAAATATTGTTGTAAAATTCTTGACTTTTTTATAATGTAATGTGACTCTTTTATTTAAGTAATTCATAATATAATGTTTTTCAAACATGAAATAATCATTCAGAAGAAGGAAAGTAAACAAATAGTATACATTCAGTACTTATTCCAGACATGAGAGTTACTTGGTCATTTAACATAATTCAGACATCTCATTCATCATATATAGTAAACAGTTTGTTAGCTTAATGTCACTTAATTTAGACAGACATCTTAATCTTAATTCATTCATGACTTAATGAAAAAAAATTAAACAGCCCCATATGTTTCATTAAATATACGGGAGTAATTAAGTTGATGATTGTGAATTGAAAACTAGGGTTATAAATAGAATTTACACTTATTTTAGTCTCAACGCTAACTTACAAATTGCAACTCTATGGAGCTAAATAATTGGGCCACAAGCCATGCATGTCGTAAGTACAAGCCCAAAAATTGCTTTATGCTTAGATAATTAGAGTGCCTTGTGAACTCTCCGAATTGACAATTTAGTTCGGTTTGATCTCTTCTCCCACTTTACCTCATTGCTCAACCGGTATTGTGTTTGTAGTTTGTGTTTGTTGCTCTTCTCCAACGTTAAGAGGGACAGAAAGAGGGAATAGGTTGGTTGAGGAGGACTTCGCTTTGTTTGATTCAAAACGATTTAACGTTTTTTTTATTCCGGCGGTGGTTAGATCTGCTTAGTGCTGCTTACTTCTCCGGTGAGTTATCTGAGTTTAAACTATTGTTACTATTTGTTAATTTTTCGTTACCTGAAGGCTATTTTTGCTGACTTTCCCCGTTTCTATTACACTCTGCAGGCATGAAGCGATTACGGGATGATGGTCATAGCAGCCCTCAATTTAAGCGGCCTTTCGGTTCTTCGCGTGGAGAATCGTAAGCTCTTTTAAGTGTTTTTTGTTCTAAATTTCCGACCTTTTGGCATGAACTTAATGCTGTCGCCTATCAGTGTATGGTAGTTGCTATGTATTGATGTAAAAATTGACGTTTGACTGTGTTTAGAGAGCGCGAAGTTAGCTGGTTTGTTTTCAGCGAACAATGAGTTGATAACAACGAGCATATTTGTTTACGCTATGTCCTTTATGGTTTTTGATTTGAAGTTTCATAAACAGAACTAGTTAAATACCCAGGATTTGTAATGGACTGTGCAGGTGTAAATTAAGTATTTCATCTTTTTGCATTATGTATGCTATCGTTTAGTTTAATGATTTTTTTAAAATTTCTTGGCAAACACAACTTATTTGAATATCATTTTCATTTTTGTTTCATTGAGTGAAGTTCGTTCAGGTTCAAGAACAAAAAAGAATATGACATCATCAACATACTTATCTATAACAAAAAGATGACTTTAGTTAGAATTTTTCATTTTTTCCTCCTGATTAAGATGTGGACAATCACAAGCGCCTGTAACTGGAGGGGGTAATGGTGGACCCGGAGGAAGCAGTGGAGGTGGCATTGGTGGTAGTGGCAGCATCCAGAAGCTGACCACCAATGATGCATTAACTTATCTAAAGGAAGTAAAAGACATGTTCCAAGACCAGAGGGAGAAGTATGATATGTTTCTTGATGTTATGAAAGATTTTAAGGCCCAAAGGTATACCATTTACCATTGGCTTTTTAATTTGTTAACCATTTAATTAAAGTAAATATGATTCTTCTTCTTGGATCTATGTCCTGATTAATTACTTGTTTGCAGAATCGATACTGCGGGTGTCATAGCAAGAGTGAAAGACTTATTTAAAGGACATCCAAATTTAATTCTTGGGTTTAATACCTTCTTGCCCAAGGGTTATGAAATAACCCTCAAGGATGAGGAAGAGGTGCCTCAAAAGAGAACAGTAGAGTTTGAAGAGGCTATAAGCTTCGTGAATAAGATAAAAGTAACACTATTCTACCCCTGTACGAATAATGTAATTTATTTTTTAATTAACTTTGTTTAGGGAACTGAAATGATTGGTTCTATGCTTCCCTGCAGAAGCGCTTCCAAAATGACGATCATGTGTACAAATCTTTCCTTGATGTCTTGAACATGTATCGGAAAGACAACAAAAGCATCGCTGAGGTCTACAAGGAGGTCAGACATGCATTTTATTTGTATACTTGTCAGTTATAGAAAATATTCCAACTTACGCTCTTCTAGAGATTTTGTTGGCATCTCAAAAAATCAAAAGGGCTATCATATTGTTAGTTTGCAAAGCTATAAAACATTGCTTGTTGTTCTCATCACCTGTATTTTTCTTCTTTTGCACTCGAAATTAATTTCTTCCTGTTAAATAGTTTCTTTTGTTATTTTCTTTTTCTGCCACATTGTGTTTTTACAGGTTGCTGATCTTTTTCATCAACATCCGGATTTACTTGATGAATTCATTAAATTTTTGCCGGATAATTCAGCAACAATATCAGCTACAAATCCTTCTCTTGGTCGACAATCTCTTCATCGTTTTGATGAGAGGAGTTCTGCAATGCCTATCCATCGACCGTCACACGTGGACAAGGTGCTTCATCTCACTGCATTATTTTGTATTAGTATTACATCAGTCACTACTTCTACATGTATTTGTTAGCTTGTTATTATTGATTGCATGTACTATGTCCAGCAACGTCATCGGCGTGATCGGATCATAGGGCCTTATGGAGAACGTGACCTTAGCGTTGAGAAACCTGATGTTGATGATGATAAGGCGTCAATGAAGCTACATAAAGAGCAAAAGAGCCGGGAAGAAAAGGAAAATGGGGATTGGAGAGATTATGATCATGATTATAGAGAACATAGGAGTGATAACAATGGAGATATAAGTGTGCATAATCATAATGAGAAGAAAAAGTCTGCTCGCAAGGTTGGAGAATTTGGAGCAAGCAGCACTTTGGCCTCTCATGACGATCAAGATGCCTTGAGAAGTGAGTGGTTTATTGTTCCTTTACATTTTTGTTACAATCCTTGTGCACTTTTCCAGTAATGACCAGCTTTTGGAGGAATATTTCAGATCCTTGCATCTCCATGTTCATACATAGTTCATGGCAGCCTTTTTTACCACTTGTTCCGTTGTATCCTATTGTCCCAGATATGTATAGTCAGGAATTCACATTTTGTGAAAAGGTGAAGGAGAGATTGCACAGTTCTGCCAGTTACCAGGAGTTTTTGAAATGCCTTCATCTTTATAGCACTGAAATAATTACAAGAGCTGACCTACATCGTTTGGTAAGGTTATGGTTCTTGTTCTTATGATGCCATCTATATTGTACTTTCTCCATCCCATTTTACCTGTTTTACTTTCCTTTTTGGGTTGTCCCAATATAAGTGTCACATTTCCTTTTTTGGAAAGAAATATGTGGTCGACAACATTTCACTTTATTATACTCAGATCTCAACCACAACTTTTTATTTTTCAACCACTTTATTAATAATTGTGCCAAACCAAAGTAGGACACATAAAATGGGCCGGAGGTAGTAGTTTTCTATATTGTACTTCGGGAAATGGAGACTAATTTATTTCAATTTTGATTGATTTATTTTTCATTTTCTCATCACCTCGTATTAACCCCCCTCAGATTAATGATATACTCGGAAGTTATCCTGATCTCATGGAGGGCTTCAATGGCTTCTTGGAGCGCTGTGAACGAGTTGGTAAATGTGAATTCAAGTATGATTACCATTCGCTTTGTTCTGAAAATTAACTCTGCTTTTCTAATTGTGCTGCGTTCTGCAGATGGTTATCTTGCTGGGTTTGTGAGCAAAAGTAGGTATCAACTATCTATATAATTTCCATGCAAAATATACTGTACTGCGTGAATAGATTTTCAAAATAGCCTGATTATATTCCCTGACCACAGAACCCATATGGACTGAAGGGCACACTTCAAAATCAGTGAAGGTGGAGGAGAAAGGGAAAGCCCCAAAACGTGAAACGGATGGTGGTAAGGAGAAGGACCGAATCAAGGAAAAGTACTGGGGAAAGTCAATTCAAGAACTTGACCTTTCTAACTGTCAACGTTGCACCCCTAGTTATCGACTTCTTCCTGATGATGTATGTAATCATTGTTGTTCACGCTGTAATGTTTAGTTTTTATTTAAAATATTTTTTTCACACAAATGTGGTTTGGTTGAGAAAAACTCATTGGTTATCTAAACAAGTCATTGTGATACCCTCTTAAACCTTGTATTGTGCAGTACCCAAAACCTGTGGCAAGCCAGAGGTCAGAGCTTGGTGCTCAAGTCTTAAATGATCATTGGGTGTCAGTGACTTCAGGAAGTGAAGACTACTCTTTCAAACACATGAGGAGAAACCAGTATGAAGAAAGCTTGTTCAGATGTGAAGATGATAGGTAACATAGATATATGGTCAGATGTATTCGTGCTAGCACCCTAAAAACGAAGGTGTTTTTTATTGCTATTTTGATTCTAAGTCCATGACTGGTGATTCAATTGCTTGATGATCTCAGATTTGAACTAGATATGTTACTGGAATCTGCGAGTTCAACCATCAAACGGGTTGAAGATTTGCTAAATAGTGGTGTAGATGGCTATATCCGTATCGAGGATTACTTTTCAGGTGTCACATTATTGAACATTAAATGAAACTTTAACAGAAACTGATCGATTGTTTTTCTGCTTGATTTTTTGGTAACATGTGAACTGTGAAGAGTTATAACTTGTTGATGAATAACTTGTCTTTTTTATATTTTCTGTAGCCTTGAATTTAAGGTGTATTGAACGCCTCTATGGTGACCATGGTCTGGATGTAACTGAAGTTTTGCGCAAAAATCCATCTCATTCATTGCCTGTTATACTTACCCGATTAAAGCAGAAACAAGAAGAGTGGACCAAATGTCGTTCAGATTTGAACAAAGTTTGGGCCGAGATTTATGCCAAGAACCATTACAAGTCTCTTGACCATCGTAGCTTCTATTTCAAGCAACAAGATTCCAAGAACCTGAGCACCAAAGGTAAGTTCAGCATTTCTGTCATAAAATGAATGCTTGCTTAATGTCATCTTCATTTCAATTAGCCTTTGTTCGGTGGAGTGAAGAATTTATCTTGTTCGGCGAGAAATAGTGAGGAGAGATGTAAAAATTGTGGGTCTCCATCTTCGTTTCTTCTTTCGTATGGGGAGAAATATTAGAGAAATGACCCCCTCCTAATTTCTATCCATGACTTATCTATTTCTCTTCTACCAAAGAACATACAAAGTCTACCTTATTTATCAGTCACTACCTCTGCCCTGTTCAAAGGTTCCCATTGCAAAATGGCACGATTATTTAGACAACAATTAAATTTGCTAATTCGAGTATATTTTGAGAAATATATTTGATTGGTATATAATATATAATGGGTTATTGCTGATAACTGTGATGTTATAGGTGTATTATTTTTAATATTTGATGATTAGATTGTTATTTACGAGTGTTAATTGTTTCCTAAAATAGAAAATGAGAATGTTTAATTGGGACATCCAGAAAAGAAAAGTGGGAACCGTTGAATGGGATGGAGGGAGTATTTATCTATTGCTCCCTAGTCCTATCAACGACAGCTTTTCATGATTATATCATCTGTATTGTTTAAAACTTCCAGCCTTGGTCTCTGAAATAAAAGAGATAAAAGAGAAAAACAGGAAAGAAGATGATGTGGTCCATGCTATTGCTGCTGGCAATAGGCATCCCATATGTCCAAATGTTGAGTTAGAATATTCTGATCATGAAGTCCATGAAGACCTGTACAAACTCATAAAGTATTCATGTGAAGAGGTTTGCTCAACGAAAGATCAATTCAACAAGGTTATGAGGCTCTGGATCACTTTCCTTGAACCAATGCTGCTGGGAGTTCAGTCTCATTCTCAGGGATCATCTGCCAATGGAAATGACGTTTCCTCCTCCAAGCACCATCATCATCATTCTAAAATCAATAATGGGACTATTGTTGGTGAAAGTGATGGAAGTCCTAGCAATGATGCAACTTTGACAAACTTTAAGCAATCAAAGATTATTTATAATGGTGGAGATGCCAATGCTTCACCTCAACAAATTAGTTCTTCAAAGACAGATGCTTTGGCCCATGGAGAAGGGTTGACTAATTCTGATGCCATAGCTCTTCTTCATGTACACTCAGTTGCGGAATCCAGTTTAGGTATATGTTGCATTTCTGTTGGAGTTAATTACATCTGTCCCTTAATTCTGGGTTAAATTACCAAATGGTCCTTTAGGTTTCTGAAAGTTACAAATTATTAAACCCATGACTAGGCAGATTTTACGTAAATGAGACATAGGAGATGAATTTTTTTCGGGCCAAATTACCCTCATCATCTATCACAGAGATTCATTCAGAGAAAATTTGAGCTCATTTTTTAATTTTAAAAACCCTGCGGATAATTTTGTAATTTGACCAGACCTCGGGGGCGGGGCGATATATGGAAATGGAATTAACCCTATTTGTCACTATGGTGGTATCTAACTAGAAATGTTACATACTCTATTCTCAAAATCTATTATTTTATCACCTAGGGTGCACTACAAGGCCTGGTTATGGCACCATTGATGATGGTCATGGATCAAAGTCTAATATGAATGACATACGATCATTAGAGGTAAGTGGTGAAGATAATTCATGCATGTGTTCAATCTCTTGGTCACTCTTTCCCAATTTGTCTTTCTTCATGGCAATAGGGTGGTGAAAATATCCGAGTTGCTCCTTTGGCAAGCGAAGGATTTGTACAAGGCTCTAGAATCAACGGATATAGTAATGAGGTTTCTGTTAAATACCCCAAAAGTGAAAAGGAAGAGGGCGAGTTATCCCCAAATGGCTATTTTGAAGAAGACAATTTTGTTGTATACCCAAACTGCGGTTCACAAGAGAGAAACGGCGGAGATGCTGATGACGAAGACAGTGATAATGCATCTGTGGCAGGTGAAGATGTTTCTGGTAGTGAGTCTGCCGCAGATGAGTGTTCAAGAGAAGAGGCTGAAGATGAAGATGAAGATGCAGAACAAGATGAAGTTGATGCGAAAAGTGAGAGTGAAGGGGAGGCAGAGGAGGGGACAAGTGAAGCACATTGTCTTGGAGATGGATTGTCATCATCACCCTTAGCTGAATGTTTTTTTCATACTTCAAAGCCTCTAACAAAGCATGCAGTGGTTGGCTTACCGTGTATGGGTGGAAAAAAGTTCTCGCGTGTTTTTTACGGGAATGACTCCTTTTTTGTGCTTTTTAGACTTCACCAGGTAAGAGCACACAGTCCATTACTTAAAACTTTTGTCCTGTTTGAGATTATGCGAGCATTTGATTGAGTTATTTTCAAAGAGTAATTGATTTTGGAGGAAGATAAAGTACTTCGACTTCAAAAAGGTTCAAGGTAGGACAAATGAGAAAAGAGTAGTTATCACAGTACAAAAACATCTTAAGGGTCTATTAGTCCCAATGGGTCCAAGAAAATACCAGGGAAGGATAACACGAAGGAAAACATGGAGGAAAATGGGATAGAAGAACATGTGATTCAAAATAAAAAATTGGCTAAAATGCTAAAACTAAATAGATCTATTTTTAGGTATTTGTAGACACTCATTTGATTTATTTATGCTACTTCTAAAATACTAAGAATTCTAAATGTTGTACTACTGACATTTAAAAAAAATACTTTGTGTTCCTTCACATTTTCAAAGGCAATACCAGACATAAGATAATTGTTTTCCTTGACAATATGTTCCCTTTCCCAAGTATTTTCTGAGAACCAAACATACCGTAAGTGCTAAAGTAAGAATACACTTCGGAGTAAAGCACATATGCCATAAACTACCCCAAACAGACTGATTGTAATTCTTTTACCTGTTTCTCATCTTCCCTTCTTTCAACAAAAAATGAATTATGATAAAAGGAGATTGCTGAGTATGCTTTACTATGAATATCTAAGTTGACTAACCCAAACTTGATTCTACTTTACTCTTGTCTTTCCAGATACTGTATGAGAGACTGTTGTTGGCGAAGCTGAATTCATCGTCACCTGATCTCAAGTGGAAAACTGGAAATGAAATTAGTTCTGATCCCTATGCCAGGTAGGAAAGAAGTGCATAATTCTGTGGTTCTGACTGTGATTAGATGTAGCCATTTGATAGTATGTGTGCTTCTCTGCAGGTTCATGAGTTCCTTGTACAGTTTGCTTGACGGATCTTCTGACAATGCAAAGTTTGAGGATGATTGTCGGTCAATAATTGGTAACCACTCATATGTTCTTTTTACCTTGGACAAATTGATATACAAGCTTGTCAAACAGGTATCTTTTCTGTGAATCATTCTCAATTTTCTATGTTGTTTTTGCTCATGTTTGATGTGAAAACTTATGGTTTTTGTGTTTTCTCTCAGCTTCTGGCTGTTTCAAGTGATGAGATGGACAATAAGCTTATTCAACTGTATGAATATGAAAGATCAAGGAAGCCTGATAACTCTGTTGATGTAGTGTACTATGAAAATTCTCATGTTTTGCTTCACGAGGAGAATATTTATCGTGTTGAATCTGTATGTCCTTTACTGTACAGCTCCTCCAAAAAACATTTCAAATATTCCCTCTGTCCCAAAAAATGTCTTCTAAAACTGCCAATGTTTGTCCAATTTATTTCCTATCTGAACAAAAGAATCTAATTTTCATTATATTTAATTCAGCTTGTTTTCAAGTGTCCCAAACATCTACAGGCTAAATTTAATTTAAGCACCAAATAAAGTGTAGCTAAGAGTGGATGATTTCCAACAGTTGTCCCTTACTAAAAATTAAATGTTGTACCTTGGTGAAACATGACTCTTTCTTTGGGATGGAAGTCATAACTATATACAGATCCCCTAAAGAGAAATACGATTTTGGCCATATTCTAGTGTCTTGGATTGATGAGTTATTGTATTTTAAATAGACATCCTGCCCTCCTGGTATATCCATCCAATTGATGGATGATGAAAACGAGAGATCTGATGTGATGGCAGTTTCTGTGGACCCCAATTTTGCTAGTTATCTTCATTCGGAATATCTTTCAGTAGAGCATCCTAAAAAGGAGTCCCTTGCTGTGATACTAAAGAGGTAATTCCATGGTCTTTCCAATTAAGTGGCTAAAAGGATTTTCTTAACATCCAATTTTCATGTCGTGTTATTTCAGTTATCGTGTTGCAAACCTCTTATGTATGAGGTCTAATTAAGTCTAAACACTCTTGCTTGAATTTTATCAAACCTTCTTTGCTGTAGTGCAGTTATCTAATTATTGTGCGAATGCACAAGATTTGGTGGGTTACGCAATCTTGATTTTCTTACCAATTTATATATACCTTTTCTGTGTAGAAATAAGAGAAAGTTTTCCAAGCTTGATGAATCATCTGCTCTGTGCATGGCTATGAAAAATGTTACCATTCTAAATGGTTTGGAATGCAAGATGGCTTGCAGTTCTTCTAAGGTGAATTTGCTTTCTTTAATTGCTTATAGGAGGAAATGAATTTCTGATGTTAATGTGATGATATATAAATCCAAATTTGGAGAGGCAATGTATTAAAACGAAAACAGTAGGCATATTTTCTGATCAAACCACTTGCAGGTTTCATATGTCCTTGATACGGAGGATGTCTTTGCCCGGTTTGAGAGGAAAAGAAAGATCCCAACTGGATGGCTGCCAACACACAACCGTACTAGAGTTGAACGGTTTCATAGACTTTTGGAAGCATCATTGTGATTTATGGTAGAGTCCTTTTTGTTATTAATAGACAGTATACTTCTTCTTGGCATATTAATCGAAGTAAGACTGTTGATTTGTTTTTCTAGAATTTGTAACACCTCTCTTGTACGTGTATGTGTACAGAGCTTGCTTGATAGTTAAAAAGCTAGCTGTGGTAAATTCACTACGAGAGTCGGTTCAAGACTTCAAGCAACTCAATGTCTCAATCATCCATCTTCTCTACTCCTCATAATGGCATCCATGTCATTTTATTGTAAATATATGGCTTGTCTATGGTGTAGATGGTTAGTTATAGAGCTTTGGTCAATCGGTTTCATTTTCCCGGGATCTTAAAAAAACCAATTCTTTTTCTTTTTCTTTTCTTTTGTTTTGTTTTTTTACAAGCTAGGAGAGTTTTTCTGTTTTCTAGCAAACATTTTTTGCTAGAATGATGTAAAGTACCCATTTGGTAAAGATGGCAGTAAAGCGATTACTTAGAATTACTTGTTGCGGAGATTTTTTTTATTATTATAGATTTTAGTCTTGTTTATGCATCATAGATTCATAGAATCATAGATGTTGCCTAAATTAATATGTAATGTTGGCACGCTTTAATGTAACTTAAATATCATACATCTGAATGTACTGTATGCCTTTGTTATAAAAACCGAACCGCGAGGTGACCCGGACAAATTACCGGGTCAAGGGTCAACCCGGACACGGAGGGTCAACTCGGTCAACACTACACATATATACTATACTCTTTAAAACATATGGTTAAATTTGTAAAGGAAAAAATATTTTCCTTCCTAATTAATAAAATTTTATTCCCTATGGTGTAGTACATATCGATGAGTTTTTCCCAGAATAATGTTAATTAAACAAATAATTCTACTGTTCAGTTAAAAATAATTCCCAAAATATTAATGGAGTTAACCGTAGTGAGGGAAACTCGCAATTTGAAGTGACGGCTTTTCTATACAATACATAAGCCGCCACTGCAAGTAGGGATGGATCCGGACTGGTCCGATTCCAGTTCCGGGCCGGGCCCGGGCGGGCTTTTTTTGCAAAATGTTGGGCCCGGAACCGGTCCGGGTTGATACCGGGCCCGGGCCTAACCGGGCTGGGCCTGGGTCAAGTTCAATTTTTTTTGGTTTCTAATTAACACCTGACCCCCCCTTCACCCCCACGCCCAACCACCCAAAACAACCAACCCTAACCTAGAAAAGCAAAAAAAAATAGAAAAAAAATTTGAACTGGGCCCGGCCCGAACCGCCCGGGCCGGTTCACCAAAAATTGGGCCTGACCCCGGCCCGCCCGACCCGCCCAAACAGGCTAAAAGCCCGGAACCGGCCAACCGGTCCCGGTCCGGTCCGGGCCCAAACAGTAACGGGCCGGGCCGGTCCGGTTTAGTCCATCCCTAACTGCAAGTGGTGGCCCTTCTGTGTAGTAAATTCTACAACACCTTATTCAACCGAAAAAACAAAAACTTGCTTAGTACAGTACAGTCAACTCAGAAACATCAAACAATTGCTCTTTATAGTCAATATAAGTCGTTAAAAATAAAACATATTCGAGGCACACAACGAATCAGTGGATTTAATAGGTATGCTCGGACAATGCTGCACTGTGTGTTGATGTATTGGGCCGAGTAGACCATGGATATGTGACCGTCTCTCAGTATTCCATGACATTTGTTCGTCCCGTTTATATTAGGAACAATCTAGAGAGGGGGGGGGGGGGGGGGGGGGGTGAATAGACTGTTTAGGATTTTCAAAAACTTTTTTCTAAGTCAATACTGACTTATCAGAGAAGGTCGAAACCTGGTGACAGAGAAGGTCAAGTTCTGATGGCAGAGCTAGACCTGACAGCGGATTGGTTTCTGTCCGGGTAGTCTCAGGAAAAACACTAAGGCAAATTCCTTTCTGATAACTCTCAAGGAAGATCTGTTGGACACAGAGTCCAACCTTTTGAGTTATGCAGTCAAAGTCTAAAGTGCAGAAAGTAAATGCGTAAAGTAAGTGACACCGGGGACTTTTATAGTGGTTCAAGGAACAATGTGTTCCTCTAGTCCACTATTCCACTAAGCTTGTAAGTTAACAGTTACAACGCCTTAGACCCTAGCACTTAAGAAGCACTCCTCGTCTTCTTCAAGTCTAGTTGCCACCCGGGATGCAGTCCTGCTCCCTGATGGCTGGTCTCGTTTCACTGAGTCTCTTGGAAGTATCTCCACTTCACTTACTCCAGTTAGTTTGAGACGTCCCTTCTTTTTCAAGAAGTATTTGATGTAAAAACAGATTTCTCCAACGTAGCTTCTTCACAAAGGATGTGTAAGTGAGGCTTTCGAAGTGTTGAAGAACTGGAGGAACTTTGCTCTTTGTTGGGCAAGACGATAAGAGGTTGATATCTTTCCAACGTAGGCTTTTCTTGTTGAAGTGAATGATTTTTTTTGAATCTCAAGAAAGCTTGTATGCTGAACTGTAGAGCAGAAGTTGTCCTGTAGTTCTTTGAAGTGTATCTTATATACTCGGACCAGTCTTCCCGTTAGAGTGTAGAAGACAGCTTCATTAAATGTTTGTATTGTTGATTTGACCGGTTGAACCTTCGACTTGCTATTTTGGGGGCGAAAAGATACCCGCATGGTCAATCATCAGCTTTAAATATATCTTCGTACGTACATCATTAATTGAGCATTTAATGCGTGTACAGTACCATGTTTCCGTCGGATGACTCCTAGCCGTTAGGGAATTTCCTGTTAGTTTCACGGCCGATGGAAAGTGCCTTCGAATTCTGCTAAGTAACAACAAGGCTGATGAGGCTTTCTGGTCCGAACTCTGATGTCTGCCTCTGATGCCAACTCTGGTACCCAGCTCTGGTAGCTTCTCTGGAGAGCAACTCTGAGAGCAACTCTGAGAGCAACTCTGGTAGATGTTCTGATCAAGAAGACAAAGAGGGTATCTGGCACGTCGACTATGCTAATAATACTTACAAAGAAATTTCTAATACAAAATCTCTATAGGGGTACTTTCAAATTCCAATTAACCTAGCATCATCAAAATCTAATTACATTTATTCCTTACAATTCCCCCTTTTTGATGATGCCAAAACCCTTTAACTATTTCCAGAGAAGTGTCTTCACAAAAAAAGAGAGTAAAGTACAGGAACTTACATTAAAATCTTGGTGGGCAACTTTGCATAGGAAAATAGTAAGAGTACGGTACAATCAGATAGCAAAAGATAGAGAATAAGGTAACAGAGCAGGAAACAAATATAAACACAGAAAGCAAGCATGAACAGATAATTGAAGATGCCATGCAAAGTAGAGGCAGAGTTGGTATCTTATTATCAGAGAATATAAATACAAGAGATAGAAGAATTCCACTTTTCATCCATTCATTGAATGAGAAGTTTGAAGATTTCTTCCTGGAGTTCTTAGGGGTGGGAGAGAAGGTCTGATGCCTGCAGTAGCTAGCTTCTTCTTCTTTGCAGCTTCAAAGTAAGGAGCATGATCAACAGATGAAGAGTTTCTGAAGGGTAAAGTTCTGGTGCTTGGGCCTTCTTCTTCTCTGGTCTCTTCCCCCTTTTTGGCATCAACAAGATCGCCAAGGAGAAGTTCAATTTTTGAGAACTCTGAGGCTTGCGCATCTCTGATTTCCTCAAGGGCTTCAGGCAACGTCTGAGTAACAGAGGCCAGTCCCTCAATCAAACTCTGTTGTCTTTCCATTGTTGATTGAATGCTCTGAGTGCTGGCTTCAAGGAGTACCATCTTCTGGTATCGCTCCTTGTCATTCTTCAGAATATTAGAGGCTTGTTCCTTGTGTTCTTTACAGAGAATCCATATCTCCATAAAACGTTATGAGGCTTGATCAGCATTCCATTGTAGAATTTGTATGGCTTCAGTGATCTCCTTAAGTTTCTCGTTCTGATCGTTGAGAGATTGAGAGTGGAAATAGAGGGCAGGGTTGATTCCATCTACTTCCTTGGAGACTGCATCAATCTTGTTATTGGAGGAGTTCATGAATGCATGCAGGGTCTCTGTCAGAGAGTCAACCTTCTCTGATATCTGCTGTAAACCCTGGTTAAGGTTGATGTTGGTGTGGGTCAGATGCTCAAAGTGCTTTTCATTAATGCGGATAAGGTGATTCATATTTTCTAGCATCTGATCACCAAATTCTTCAGCAGATGCAACAAACTGAGTGAATGTAATCTGAGGCTCTGCAGGTGTAAACCCTGGCATCTCCAAACCTCTGCTCTTGGGGAATGGAGGGTTTGTGTCAGTGGGTTTAGGGGAGTTATCTCTGGGAGGTGTCTTCCTCCTCTTGGAAGTAAGATCAGCAGCGACAGATGATGTAAGGAATCCACCATTATCATCTTCTGAAGAAAGAACCTTGACGATATGCTCTTTCTTAGGTTTGGATGCCACAGAGTGTTGAGGGGAACTCTGTGGGTTAGCAGCTCTGGAGATGGACTTGGATTGCTGTTGAGGGGGTGAGCAATGAGGAGTAGGGGTTTTCTGGTGAGAGGAGCTCTGATGAATGGGGGATCTCTGGTGGGAGGTTTTCTGATGTGAGGAGCTATGGTGAGGAGTGGGTTGCGGTGGTGGAGGTGGTGGAGATGAAGGTGAACAGTTTCTGGTAGGAGTTGCTTATTTACAAGGTGATGGAGATTTAGGCTTTTGGGGGTGATGGAGTATATGGGTCTGAGCCCCTGGACCCACATACTCGGAAGAACAGAAAGCACAAAACACAGAGTGGCGCCCTCGTCGGCCAGGACGCTCCCGTCGGCCGAAAAGGGGCCAACTCAGATTATGGTCCTGAGCCCAAGGAACTCGGGTGCCCTCGTCGGCCGTGCCCTCGTCGGCCGTGCCCTCGTCGGCCACGCCCTCGTCGGCCACGAGGACCTCCTAGAACCGGATTTTATACTTATTCATTCGTACAGCCCATTAGCGGCTTTGTATTCGGCCCAGTAGCGGTCCAGTTGTAAATGGGCCTCCCAAGCCCAAGGCTTGGGAGCCCAGCCCGTATTTTCTCTATAAATACTCCCCTTGGGAGTAGTTGTAGGGGTTCAGAATTCATTAATATCAAGCAAATATACTACTTCTCTCTCTAGCTCTCACTTCTCTCTAGATATACTCTATCATTTGGTGCTCTCGTTGAGAGCTAGAACAATCAAGTTAGCACCCTTCGTCGCTACCAAGAACAGCTAACCACTGATCATGGGGAGAACTAAGTCAAACCGCAACCTCGTCAGCAAAGCCATCCCTGAGGACCAAGAGCCCAGGGAGCACGATGAGGACGCCACGGCCGACCAGGTCGGCGGAGGGGACCTCTTCCAGGAGGCCTTCAACCTCACGACGGACCTCCGCAACCAACTCAACGGCGGAGTCCCTGATGCCCGCCTCGGCCTGGAAAAGAAACGGGCTGAGAAGACGGACCACGCCCCGGCCCAGCCTATGGTCGCGGCCTCTCCGTCCGTGGATCCGCAGGTCCAGGCCGCGCTGTCGGTCATCATCGCTAGCCTAGC